CAAGTTATGTTAATCGCCTTTATGTTTTGGAATGAATACCGCGAACTTCTAACGGGAAGCTGTGACCCGTGGTATCAACCACTCAGAAGTGAGACAGATGCCAACTAAAGACCTTCGATGACGACCACTCGCGAATTCACAGGAGTAGAAAACTGCAGGTCGTTGAATTCCAGACCAGTTAATGGCTGACGCGTTCTCCGTGAAATCTGGAGTCCAGTGTTTGTTCATTGAACAGAACGGGGTTGCGTTCCGCTTAGAACAACATTCCTAGGGACAAATAGCTGTCTTAAGCAGTAAGCCTGATAATGGTTCTCCACCTTGTGTCAGCCGGTGACGAATGCTGGCTGTAAAACGTGCATGTAAAGCGTTGGTCTTTCCACGACTCATCATCTTGGCCATTTTCTTCTTATCGCACTTTACTGTCTCTTTGTAATAGTATGAGTTCTGTCGTGAGGTCAGGTAGGTTTTTGACACGTGAAGCGCCTTGCAGTAACGTCATTGGTAGTCTTTTCTCTGTCACTATACATTTTTGAGATGTTTGTCTGTATCAGAAGTAACCAAGAGCATCCCACACTTTCTTCAGGCCTTGCACACATCGCGCTCTCCCTGGTTTTCAGTTTGGTGTAAAAACGTGCTTAAGACATATCGTTTACAGATATTCTCGTTTCGGCTTTTGCAATACGCGTTGTTGTTAACGGAATCACTAACGACGAATACTGAAACTATCGTGTACAAAAAATGAACTCATGCTCCAACATCACAGGTCTATAAAAACCACTAGTTGAACTAAAGGCTAAAACCCCAGCGGATAGTTAGGGGAATTTAATCACCCATGCATATCCGAAAACAGGTTTCTCATGACTTTGCGACAATGATAATATATATATTTCATGCAACGTAGGTTACATGAATACAAACCAGCTTACAGGTTTGATCATTTTGGTACTGCACGGTTATCTATGGTAACATGAAAGCACCGGACAGAATTCGAGTGGAGAACATTCAACGAAACTTTACTCGGCGCCTACATATACATAACGAAGGACTTCCTTACGAGGCAAGATGCAAAAAACTAGAACTAGAATCACTCTGGCCGAGACGCCTGAAGCCCAACCTAACAATTCTTTTTCGCCCTTTATTTAGAAACTCTAAAACGAAATGTGCTATCACTTTTAAATCAACACAGGCATATAATCTGCGTAATGGCCAGTACATCATCCCAATAAATAAGTATCGCTCAAAACTTCGATGTAGGTTTTTCCCGCTCCTATACGAGCATGTCGTTCTCTCGGCCAGTTTCAACCATTACTTAATGAATTCCTTCTATCTAATGAATCTCAGCAATTTGTTGACGGCCAAACCGCAGACGGTAATACCATGTACAATGGTGCTACTGGTACCTGGACTCAAGGGAGACTAACAACAATGACAAAAGCACACAATGCCGAAAACTAAACGCAGTGGTCAAGTTAAAATTTAATTTCTTTAAAAAATGACCAAGAGTGAACAGGAAGCGGAGTGCGATACAATATGCAACAGTGAACTCAGTAGCTGCTCTAATGTAACCTACATTTCCACATAATCTAACCGATCTCACGACTTAACTCCCTTTTCCTAAAAATCGTCCCTTAAAATAATCTCTCTACTCCGAAAAGATAAAAGAACTGTTTATCGGTACACTTTCATAGTATGTAACATGTTTTATCATAATAATAATAATAATGATAACAATATTCATTCCTGAATATACAGGAGCACACCATTTTCAGAGGCATGAATAAGTTTATATACAAATTACATTCATCTTCATGGAAAGTAGTCTTAATCCCTACCCGTTATCACTAGAAGATATAAGTGCTGCATGTTCATATAATGGAACATCCCAGCAGAATAAGTATGCAGAAAGTTTACAAGTTGGACAAGTGGAAGTATTGTCTTCGCACTGACAAAAAAACCGGGTTTGTATCCAGACACTACAGGTATTACCTGAAGAAAAATGAAGCTTGGAGCTAATACTTCCATTGTAACAGTTTCTACTTTTTGCTTGAGATAATGATGAAAAGTTTATGAGGGAATGTATGCATGAATTGTTTATATATTGTACTTCATTGACGATTCCAGAGGTGTATAATTCATCCATGCTGACACCATTCCACGACAAAGATTCATAATCTTGATGAATATTATGGCCGAAAACCAAATGTCTTCATTTCTCCAACTTCAGCATCCAGAAGCAACAGACTTGTTTGAGTGCGCCAGATGGACTTCCAGAACATCTTGTCCTTCGTTTTCACGGGTCGTGACAGCCTTGCAGTTGGTAAGTGTTGGACTTTGCCGGTCACTTTTATAATGAGTTAATCCAAGATTTTGATAATTATGAAGTTGTAGTCCAGTGAACATTTTTTATTTCTGCTTGTTGTGGTTAGGTATTCTGAACTTGGTAAAGATGGTTACCCTCCGTGAAGGGTAGTTTCAGCCACGATCTGTTCCTTAAGTAATTAATTCTCGATGGAAACAAAGCAAGCGTTCAGAACTGAATTATTTTTCTACAACGAGAATAAAACAGACGAAGCAGCAGGCGGAGAAAGCAAGAATTCCAGCAAGGAGAGCGTTTTCCATGTTCATGTTTCTCCCTACTTAACTTTCCTTGCTATGGCTTTCATTGCATGTCCTTTTTCTATAGAGTATTTGAAAATATAAATTTCATGCTGTCATGTGGTGTAGGATTTCTGTTTTTGATTACCTTGTTGGGTGGGGCAGAATGTGCCGTTAGTTTGAGGTGGTAACTTATGGAAGTCTCCTGAAAGCTTTGTTTGAAAGGTCAGTGCATGTGTGGTGGCTCTCATTATACATATACGAAGTGTCGTGAAAAAGACTGTTGGTGTATTCGATAAGCAGTAGAAGCCACCAGATGATAAGAAGTCAGCCAGTAACCGACAAAATTCAGGGGTTGATTTGGAGACCTTCACTTCAGCTGGAAGTCCGTTCCACAACTGAGAGAATTTGACAGCAAAGAAGTTTGCGAGCAAGCAGGACTTGGAAGATTTCATTTTGATGCTATGGGAATGGTTGCACAGGTCTTAACAACTGTTGTGTTTAAACTGAAACTCGCCACTGGCTGTAAACGTGTGCGTACCTCTGGACGGGGTCGCATATAGGTCTTATGCAGCTTCAAAAGAGTTCCGGGGTCAAGGCACCCAGCTGTGCGCATGAAGTGCTGTACTGCCTAGGCTCTGGAGGCATCTCCTGGATAATTGGGGCTAGTGCCTAGTTTGTCAGTTAGTATTAGTCCTAGGTCTTTCTCTGTGGTGGTGTGGGAGAGTTGTGTTCCACAGAGAGAGCAGGGTACCTTCTGAGAGTTTGGGGTGCGGAGAAACATGGCTCGGCACCTATCCAGATTAAATGCTAGTCCAATAGTATCCACCCACTTTGCAAGTAATCTGTCGCTTTGCGGTGCACTTGATTCTGTTCGCGACGTCAAAGCTCTCCATAACTTAATATCATCAGCGTACGGAAGAACTGGGGAGCTGAGATTCAGTGGGAGGCAGTTCACAGAAAGAAGGAAAAACAGTGGACCCAGAATAGCTCCTTGTGATACACCAGATGATGATGTCCTCCAAGTCGGGCAAACTCTGTAATAATAATGATAACAATAATAATACATATTTCATGCAACATAGGTTTGTTACATGAATACTAACCAGTTTACGGGTTTGATCATTTTGGTAGTGAGAAATGACTACTATGTACAATGTTAAGCTGTACATTAGATACCGTTAGTCATGGCATATAAGAGGAGTGTTGAAGAAGGCTCAGTTGGAAATTAAGAATCATTCGGTTATTGTTTGAATCTTCCAATATTCTTGAAAGTGGGGTCCCAACACAGTCATGACCTTGGGGTGTGCGCGTTCGTCATAAGGTTTTGATGGCAACGTTCCCACTGACAAGTGCAGTTTCTAGGATTCCATTTGAATGCAGGACTGGTTGGACAAACCTGAAAAGTGAATGACGAAAGCGAGCAGTGGGCGAAATTCGAGACAGGAGCACAAAAATACGCAGGAGTAGATCAACCATGCGCTCTTTGAATACTGACGTGTTTTCGCCTCGCCTGTATTCTACTCGGAAATAACTATATATAAGTCTTCCCAATTGGATGTTTCCTCTACGAAAGTTAAGATTTCACTGGAAAAACGTTTTGCTACAGGACATACAGCTCTCAGTCGGTCAATTCTATCACTCTCCAAAAGGACAACTGTGCCCAAACTGACAAAAATGGGGAAAACGTGGGGGAAAAATGGCGAAAATTGCGCTAGATCAACCATGATACATCTGGGTGAGTTCATGGTACTGACTGCAAAACTTACTTGAAGAAGTATCCGGAACCAACTGTTTAGAGGTAAGCTTAGGTGGAAAAAGATGAAGGTGTGCACGGGGCAATGAAAGTTAGTCAGAAGCTGAAGATATCACCACGAAATAGAGAGGTTAAAGGATTTTTAACTTTGTTCTCTCTTTCAAAATCTAAGTAGATAGACAATGAGTAACCCTTTTGCAAATACATCTGTTGTTTTTATCTTCAAACTTACCCTAAAATTTCCACGTTTTTAAAATTTATAAACAGTTAATGAGACTGAACTATATGCAGTATTTGTTGAACCATACCACGCTACCTAGTTATCCCATTCTCAGTAAATGAAATCAGCTTCGAATCCATAATCCATTGGATGAAAGTCGAGCACCCAAGTCAATGAATCACAACTCCGCATTCAGGAAAAGTGAGTTATAGGTTCAAGGGACTACTTTTATGTATTTCTCTTTCACAATGCCACTTTCTCGTATCCAAGATCAACTGATCGACAAATGCCTAGTCCCATAAAACTAGGGAATGGGAAAGTAAGATGAGCTTGAAAATGTCAGAAAACATCTTATCTTGAACTGCGTAAAGACTTTTGTAGGTGTCAAGTGATCGTCTAACCAACATAGATAGATCAAGGTCCATGTCCACACTTGTGCATTTGTCACTTTCGAGGGCAATAGCATCTTAGTCTTCAGTTAATTGATCTGCGATCCTGTCGGGGACCTGTTTCCATTTGTGGAAGATCAATGGTTGGGACCAAGTGGAAATGAGATAATGCTTGCGTTTAACCAACCACTTACTTCTGCGTGGACAACCGTGTATTATCGTAAGTCTTAGTACTAGACTAAGTTTCATTACTGTTTATTTTATTAACCACCCAAGAGTGTATTCGTTCGTACAGCTGGTGCAAACCCGATATTCCTGAGAACCTTCTGAGACAAGCGTTCGAAACCTGCTGCCTTACTTTTGAATGTGCTTGTGTGGTCAAGGATGAGAAATCCCGTCCCGGATTTGGAAGTGCTGGCACATAAAAATGCGTTTCCCACCGCTTCTGAAGTTTCGTTCATTACTTAGAGAAGCAAGGGGTGCTACAAGTGGGCAACAACTAAGATGCTTTATACTAGTCCGAATGGGTGGGGGTGGAGAGTTCGGGCCTAGGTCCTTCACTTTCAATCAATATTGTGTATAGCAGCCAGTAGATTAATCCTATCATGTTCAATATAAAAACGGGCATCTGTGTATTAACGGAAACAGTATCGGTTCATATGAAACCCTTCGCCTGATGTAGGACTCATACTCTTTCAGTGTACAGCCGATTTCAGCACCGACTTATGGTCATGTTTTTGATTCTCTCAGCAAACTATTTTCTTCAGAAGCCTTTATCCATCTTACTAGGTTCACTGTACTTTTCATGTTTGTAGGTTACATTCACCGAAGACTATTGCCTTAATCTGCTGCAGAAAGCCTGTTAAGGACTTTTATATGGGTCGTCGCCGGAGCAGTAATAAACCACCACCAAAACGAAAAGCTATTGTACCACTGGATAAAGTATTTAACTGTCCATTCTGTAACCATGGTCGATCTTGTGAAGTTGTTTTGTAGGTTTGATTTAATCAATCTAACCTTTTCTAGACAGCGTGATAATAATATCGGCTATATCAAGTGTAATATATGTTTAGAAGACTTCCAAACTAAAATTAATTATCTCAGTCAAGAAATTGATGTATACAATGATTGGATTGATGCTTGTGAAGAAGCAAATACCTAATAATTATACACTTATTGTCATACGTTTCGTTTCGTCCGAATTGAGTGTCATCTGTAACCTAGTTTGACGACGGAGATTATTGTATAACAAGAAATTCGAAGTCAATAGAGCGTGATGACCTGTTTATTTTGGGTACTTTTGCGAATGTGACTCGCTGTTTTTAGTATTTAGAAATGTACATAACTTTGGTCGATGTATAAATAAAACTGTATATTGTTTTCCTACTAGTTCTCGTACTTATTTTGGGAGGCGAAACTGTTTTATTGGGCAGTATTGGCAAATTGTCTGCTTAACCGCATTAAGATACGTTTCCTTGAGAAGGTCTGGTTGTATGCTAACATAAATCCCAACATGTGCTTGCCTGACTCATAAAATCTACGTTGAACCTCGCACACAAGTGTATTGCTTCAAGTTGTCACAATTCACAATAGCATACAAAGAACAAGAGGATAGAAAATGGGTGACATCATATTAGGCTAAGTTGTGTTAGAGAATAAACAATCTTGAGATAACAGTTGGTGCAAGTATTCAAGCTTTGGAATACGTCAAGGAGTGAATACATCTACGCCATTGTAACCGATTTCCAGCCATATCGCCAAGAATTCTCGGCCACTGATTTCTTTCGTCTTGGGGATCCCAGCCAGGTAGTATACATCTCCCCACATGGCTCAGCCAACCAGCAAGAGACTCCATTAATCGGTGCCACGTCTTGGTCTGGCCACCATAAACCCTCTTCCAACCTAATCAAACTTCCCCTAGCATGGCTTGTCGAAGTAGGCGGTGGCTCTGCATGCGCAGCACATGTCCAGGCCATTTCAGTCGACTAAGGTTCACAACCTCATCAATCGACTTGCTTTTCTTATGTAACACCCTTCTCCTGACCTCGGCATTGCTCACGCTGTGGTTCCGGCAATGCTATATGGATACCCATGATCCGAACACTGCAGTAGCTTCATTTCTTCTACTTTTAACGGCCATGTCTCACCGACGTACAACAGGACAAAACGGACTGCAGTGTGGTATACTCGTCCTTCGGTAGATAGATAGTCGGATATCTTGCCAGTTGCCGACACGGAAGACGCATGTTAGCAAATGTCAAACGGGCCTTCTGTGTCCAGGCTGAGGTTTCGTCAGCGTCCACTCCGTTTGGGCTGATGCAACTCTTCAAGTAGGTGAAGTGGTCGATAGATTCTACTATTTCACTCCCTACCATTCATCTGGGAGTACTTGCAGCATACCAGTCCTGAAGCAACCTCGTTTCACATTTGACAGGTGATAAACACATGCCAAACATACTTGGATTTCGGTCCAACACGTTCAGAAGACAGCGCATTGCATAAACGACTTCACCTAGCAGGACAACATCGTCTGCATACTCCAAGTCAACCAGATAACCTTGAGAGAGTAAATTAATCCACGTCGTCTTTTTCGATTTCGACGACAACTCTACATAATCCTTTACACTGTTGTGTGAGCTCTACTAGGGAGCTTTGATTAGCATTGCACACTCGCTTGATACTGCCTTCACAGTCAGACGTTGTCGCAACACCTCGCGGCTGACAGACTCGAATGCCACCTTCAGGTCGAGATATATGGCAAGCATCGGCCACTGGTCGGTAAGTATGCCTGTGTCCCACGATCTGTCGGAGTGTCAAACTGTGATCGATGCACCCTCGTCCAGGTCTGGTTTTCTTGAGCTCCAGTTAGGCGTCGGATAATTATGGGCTTTGGGATCTTGAACACAATGCTAGTCAAACCAATCCCCTTATGGGTGTCACAAGAAGACTGCTCTCCTTTCTTATAGACTAGAATGATCATTGAAGTGAATCAGTCTGACGGCGTTCCCCTAGCATTGCTCGTTGGGTCATTGTGATATGCAAGCCTGGCCACTAGGTTACGTTGGGCGTATTGGGTCAGGATGCGAAGAAATACAATGCAGTATTGCTGCGTTACTCGTGGTGCACCGACGCATTCTCACTGTGATTAAGTTAACAAAGAAGACAAGCGAACACGGTAGTATTGTAGTGGGCGTTGCTGATAACAACGGACATGAGTAGTATATATCGAGAGAGTGGCAGGAATCATAGAAAAAATTACCGGCAATGGGTAAGGTTTCTGCCAAGAGCAACGCAGGGGACAACACAGACGTATTACAGGGGATGCCGCTGATAAGAGTGTATGAAGAGCCGGTCAAGAGCAAATCAAGACAGGAACGGGGAGGAAACGAAGACATTTGCAGATGGCTGTGTTGGTGCAAGGAGTAGCATATGTAACCACTACCATTCCAATTGTTCGTAATAAACATCCTCTCGTCGAGTTGTCTTCTGTTTCTTCAGTATATGGTGAGAATGTATTGGTTTCGTGGCAAATGTGTGGGGAAAACTTACCATTAGAACCTTATAAACCTTGATGTTTGGCACAAAGGCTAGGTTAGCTATAGAAACCAGTAGCAATCACTAACCCGAACGTTTGCCCCGTGCGCATATACAAGCAACGAAAAACTCAAACGTAATATGAATTTCTACGTTCAGGTCTGCATCTGGCGAAGGAAGTGACATACACGTACATTTTGTTTCAAGAGTTCTTATTCTTAGGTGCCTATATTGCAACTGCTTCGCACGTTTAGCCTCTCATTCCTCTGCCTAATACATGTGTATTATGTGGAGGGTTAAGCGGCATCATGAAGGAATCAAACATAATCCATCCTCCTAAACTTTGTCTTCTGCTTCGCCTTCATCTCCTGACAATAATATTAAGCCCCTTATATCTTTCCCAACCTTTCACTCTGTAACCATTGCTAACAATCAAAGCTATCGAAACCTTATTCTTGGTCTCCTAAGACCCCGTCATCTACTTCATGTAGGAGCTTACAACGTTCGAACTCTATGCCAAATTAGAAATCATGCATCGCCCTCCATAACTTTTTAATTTGAAGCCATGAATTTATGCTGTCTCTGAGTTATGTGTACAGGACTCAAGTGTAGTTGTCAAATTGATCTCACCCAGCCATAAAAGTGAATCTTCAAATTCAACTTACGAGTATCCTGAGACGCGATGACCAGCTCCTGTGTACTCATTGGTGTAGGTGTAGCATTGAGCTGTAAGACAGAAAGTGCGCCTCTCGAGTGGATGTATGACAACAACTATCTATGTGCTGTGTGACTGAATTTATTCGTAGGACGTAGTAAGGACGGTGAGACCAACCCATGCACATTCATAATCCCCTCCTATGCAGCCACCGATTGCAGGTGGGATGATGCATAGGATGACCTTTATGAAGATCAGTCAACTTTGTTACAAGAAGCAAAATGTTCTGACAGGGTCCTTCTGAGTAGTAACTAATTTCTGCCCTTCACTTATTTTCGAAGTTTTTACAGTTCACCGAATAGTGTTCCATCCCTATTGCATGTGTACTGTAGTTGTCTCGCAGTCTTCGTCCTAACTTCAATAGAGGGTACTAATTTACCAGCTTCCTTCCCTCTTCACACATATGGTACCTCGTCGTCAGTGTTGATAAATCAGCAAGTGCTGCGTTCATAGATTTCCCTCAAACCACATACTAAGCGTTTTTGCCTCTAACGGGAAACTTGTCTGTCAGATGCTAGGAGCCTTGCTTAGAACCGATGTTGCTGCTGTGAGTTTTTATGTATCCTCGTATGTTTCAACAGGCTATCTCGTAATGCATCCTTCAGTAACTAAGAGGAAAACCGTAAGTCTCGCTTGTTCAGCGTTTGAAGAAGTCGATCTAGGGGAAAACCCTGAAGTGGCATCTTTCAACGGACTTCGAGACCCAGTACGAGCCCTCCCGACGGTCAACAGGTTTCAACGGGCACGTTCTCTGGTATGGTGCCATCCCTGGCCTCCAACATGACTGAACGCTAGACACTTTCTTGAGCGGAATGGAGTACTAAGTCATGTATTCTGAACATGAGAATAACTAATATTCTTGAGTTGAGTGGAGATTTTAATTTTAAAGTAATATTCTTCACGGTATGACGCCAGCTAACCTCGCCTGGTTAACTAGTTCACCAGTTACTAGCCGGTCGTAAACCCACGTAAAGAGGGAAGGTTGGGCATAGGGCTAGCAACCCTACCCTGAAAAACAAACTCCGAAGCACAAACGAAATACAAAAAACAGTGACAAAATTGTTCCTCGCTGAAATCGGAGAGGCGAAATGACGATGGTTGGTGAAAGCCTCCGGGAAGCCAATTGGCCGGTGTGTCTTCTCTCTCTCAATAAAAACGAAGGTGGACGTGGGGACATGGAGTGTCCACACAGTGTTTGAACCCAGCCAGGCAGTCCAGAATGCAAAAGAGACGAGGAGGTATAGCATAGATGTGCTTGGAATTCGTGAAAGCAGATAGAATGGGAGTGGACTCTCCAAACTGCCAACTGCAGAATCAATAATCCACTCCAGTAACCCAGACGACAACCACGAGAACACGGAGTTTTCGAGTGGCCATCATGATGTCCCTAATAGCATTGAAGGCTCCTATGCAGTGGGAACCAATCTCCTCTGGGATCATGACAGCAGGATTAAACTCGAAAGGAGGGAAGGTCACAATCATGCAATGCTACGCACCTACAAATAATGCAGAGCAAGAGAAAAAGGAAGAATTCTACAGACAATTTTAATCAGCACTGCACAAGACCTCAGTTAGCAACATCGAAATTCCAGTGGGCGACATGAATGCCAAACTGGGAGCAGACAACACAGAAAGAGAATTACCATGGATCGGGAAGCGCTAAGTGAGGTGTTGAACGAGAATTGAGAATTGTTTGCAGAATTCTGTGCATTCAATGATTTGGTGATTAAAGGCACTGTGTTCAAGCGCAAGGATATCCACGAAGTGACATGGACACAATAGAAATCAAATCGATCTTATCTCAACCTCAAGAAAGTGGAGACCCAGCCCACTTGACACAAGGTCAAGAAGAGGAGCAGATGTAGGTTCAGACCACTCGCTATCGAGTGCAAGGAACCTTCAAAATCAAGTTAAAAGCCTTCAAGGAGGCTGGTGGTAGACCACAGTTCAAGCACAACACTCGGAAACTGAAGGATGAAACTACAAAGGACATCTTCACACCAGTCAGCCATCAAGACAAAATGGGTGATATCGAGGAACATCCCTGAAGAAATCTGTGTGGAAGAACACTGGAAGCCTTCGAAAGGGATGTGGAAAGAAACCTGCACAGCCGTATTAGGAAGGAAGAAGAAA